CACGGATGCGTAGTAATGTATGACACTGAATAAGTCAAGTTTTCCAGAAATAATTCGAAGTATGAGTCAACTATAGGAACTTGAGAACGGGAAGGCAAGTGCCAAACTTTTCACATGATCTTGTTTAGAGATGTTAGAAGAGAATATAAACTTTGTAACCCTAAATGCCAACCATAAAGGGCGACACAATAATTATAAGAAAACATTTACCAAAACCATCAGCAAAATAGAAAGTACAGAGTGTGCTTTTTGGTACAGATCTTTGAGTGCACGGGTTACATCAGGTCCATCGTTTAGGTCAAAGGACAGCACATGTCCAAGATGTGCGACTTCATTCAGTATTATTGACAATCGTAGAAAGCGATAGTTTTTACAAGAACGAAAACAAATCAGCTGAGTTTTACTAGCAAACTATGATCATAAACTGCAAATATCCAACATCCGTCTAAGAGCAGACGCACATGGACTCGGAGCCGGATAACAATATCATCTGCATATATAGCAGAGTGCTCAACCAACACCAGAGTCTGACAACTCTTCCAACAAACCATCCAAATAAACTGCAAATAAAACTGGTGAGAGGACTTCACCCTGTCTGACACCATAAAGGTTCGGAAAAACAATCACCCAAACAAACTCTCATCTCCTGTAAGCTATACCAATTTACCAAGAATCGAGTAGGCAAGCCCCCATGTTGTAACTTTGAAAAGGGTTTACCATGATCTACCACAACCACATCCTAGAGTTTGTGAACAATAAAATATCTTCCCACCAATTTGGATTTATGCTCCATCGTTCGATCTTACAGCAGTTGCTCATTTTTGTAAACAACATTTTAAAGTCGACCAGTACCTCCTTTCAAAATGATGTCATCTACTTGGACTTCAAAAAAGCTTTTGATTCTGTAGCCCAGAATGAGTTGTTGTTCAAACTATGGCATATTGGTATTAATGGAAATACTTGGAAATGGCTAAAGGCATATCTGACCTGCCGCACTCAGTGTGTCTCTATCAACTCGGCTACCTCTACTGCCCTTCCCAGTTATCTCTGGCGTTCCTCAGGGCAGCATTTTGGGCCCACTACTGTTCGTAATTTTCATAAATTATCTTCCAGACGTAGTGTCAGCATCTAAAGTTCTGTTGTTTGCTGATGACGCGAAGTGTTTTAAACCAATTTCTAACCCTTTTGATCGTATGTGTCTACAGGATGATCTCAATAGGCCAACCCTATGGAGCACTACCTGGAGTTTGCCATTCAACGTCCAGAAATGTTTTGTTCTCTCTTTTCCACCTAGATGTGGCCATGCTCTATTCTCCAACTCCTACCATCTTAACAAATCTCAGCTATCGTTCAAATCGGTGCATAATGACCTTGGTGTCGTTTTGTCTTCCGATCTCAGATGGTCTGACCATTATGAATATATCATGGCCAAGTCATACAGAGTTCTTTTCCTCTGTTCAATGCCCCCGGGCTAAAAGGGTTCTCTACATAACTTTGGTTCGTTCTAAGCTGCTTTACTGCTCTCCCATCTGGCGTCCTCACCTTCTGAGAGATATTAAAGCTCTTGAGAATGTCCAAAGACGAGCCACTAAATTCATTCTTAACAACTATGTTTCTAACTATCGTCTCCGTTTGCTCGACCTTCATCTCCTGCCACTAATGATGGTCCTTGAAATTGGTGATATTCTGTTCTTCGTAAAGGGCTTGAAAGAGCCATCAGCCCATTTTAACATTCTTAGTTTCGTCACATTCTGCTCTGGCCAAACTCGTTCAGCCTTGCACTTCAAGTTGAGACAAACTACTCCTATTTCTAATAACTCCATTCGTCACTTGTTCTTTAACCGTCTTCCCCGCCTCTGGAACTCACTCCCCCTTCTTAATTTAGATCACTCCGTATCTACTATCAGGTCCAAACTCTACGAACTCTTTTGGAATCGTTTCATTATAAACTTCAATCCAGACAATCCATGCTCGTTCCACTACCTGTGTCCATGTGCTAAGTGTAGCTCTATCCCGATCTCCCCCAACTTTGACACCTCTCCTATGAACTAATCTCTGTGTATACCTCCAGCAGTCCCTCAGCACTACCATCCTATTGCTATCATCTTACCTTTCACATCTCGTCTCTTTGTGTGCTGTAAAGTCTCAATAATAATAATAATAATAATAATAATAATAAAATGCTTTGGAATATTTTTTACAACACCTGTGCATAAAGACGTTGAAGAGCCAGACTTAAAATGGCCGCCCTTGCCGTACCGTACGAACAGGACAACGCTCTAGCTCTGCAACGAAGCAGTTTCAGAGAAAATCCCACATTTTCTGACCTCCGACGGCCGCTGGGTATGTAAACCCGTTTTGGACGCGATCTATGACTGGAAAAGTGAGTTTTCACTTAACTGACAGAATGAATGCACTGAAGTGCAAACCCTCGGCGCACTGTGACGCGCACGCGTAAGTAAACGCATGCGCAGTACCACCAATTGATAGGCTGGGTTTAGTTTTAGCTGTTACTCGTGGTCTCTTGCCAGCTCGCGCAGAGTCTGACGCGGGCTAACTACACTACTAGATAGCATGCGAGAGGCGATACACGCCCTGCGTTGCATCTTCTTGTGCCTCCGAACTTCTTGTGCCTCCGAAGTACGCAGAGCACGATCCGCGGTAAGGTCCGTTGCGTATTTGCATATTAGCTTTTCGCGCTCTAGCTTTGCAACGGAGCATTTTCAGAGAAAACCGCACATATTTTCTGACCTTCATTGCCCGTTAAGTAGATCGTGTCCTTTGTGAGACGAACAAACACCCGAGAAGTGAGATTGAGAGTACCAGACAGACAGACACACAGGCAGACCCAACTACAGTAACCCTCGCTGCGCATGCGCGCCGAGGGTTAATTATTGATGTGTACATCTCTTTTGGAAATGTGAATCATGTTGAGCCTGTAATGGTCCCAATAAATGCAGCTGGTGGTCTACCTGTCTTTTTACCTCCATATTCATGAGATTGAGAGTAACGGACAGACAGACAGCCAGACAGACAGACCCAACTACCGTAATCCTCGCTGCGCATGCGCGCCGAGGGTTAATGACACACACGACAACTACAGTAACCCCCGCTGCGCATGCGCGCCGAGGGTTAATTACCTGTAGAAACAAAGTAGACCTGGGTATTGTGGTAAGATGCTGTAACTGTCAATTCCAGGCTAAGCAATCTTGTACTGACATGCTTGAGTACTTGTCGAAAGTCCACCTAGCAGAATGCACAGTAGTCAGCTAACTCTGATCAAAATAGTAAAATAATATGTCAATCATCATCTCTTCCACGTCAAATTTAGTAACCTGAGTTACTGAGTTATTTTAGAAAAACTGAAGCACAAACTTACAGTACATGTGTAAAGCACTCAGAAGCCTTCATAGAGGTGTTGTGCATAATGTGACAGGGACACCCCCATAAAGTAGGTTGCAGGATTTTTCTCCCGTACCAGAGTAAGAATAGAATTTCGTTTTCCTAGGTTAACAGATGTGTTGTCTACCGACACTCCAATACAGTGTTCCCATGAAACACCATTTTCCTGGAACACTGCATTGAAGATTGATGCTGCAGAAGCTGAATCAGTGTTTAAGTTGCCATTGAATAATGCACAGTGTTGAATGTAACTGTGTATAAGTATACCTTTTGTTACACACATGTCAAGGAAACGTGTGACGATTCTCCCCTCATTGATATCATACAGCCTCACTGTCGTTGGATTCATCTTCTCAAGTTCTGTGTCATTAGAGCCATCTACAGCAATAGCAAATCCTCGCGTTTCATAGCTGTTACTAGTGACTGCTTAAAAAAAGTGCAATGGCACCATTTACTAAGCATTTCGTCTTCGTACTTGCAGATTAGCAATTTCACCATCACAAAAAATGTCCCTAAGAAGAGGACTTAGCTGATCAGCAAACGCAAGGGGTATGGTATTTGAACAAGAACCTTCACCTCTGCTCTGGTAAACTAAAGGGTATTTCTTAATACATACGTTAACTTAAGATTGCACTGTATATATATACCTTATCCGTGTTTCTTGTTGAAGTAGCTGCCATAGCACTATAGGGCCATAGACCACGCACCCAGAGCAATGGGCGGAACAGTTAACAAACGAACATACACCATATGAACATGAGGTGTCTGTCTCACCTCCCAGACACCTCAACTGACCCCTTCCACCAGCTACACCCTGCAGCTCCTCAGACGCAATCTGAGACTGGTACGCTGGGATTCTTAGCTCCCAAACGTCCCAAATAAAACCTTCAACAAGGCCAAGCAAAGAACCAAATTTATCCTCCCACCCAATATAAAAGATGCCTTCCTGAAACTATCAAGCGACTGGAAATGCTCAAACCCATCATCCTCGTGTAGGTGTATTGTTTATAGCTCGTTGATGTTGCACTGATGCTATATGCCTTGAAACATCTCTCTCGCCCTGGTGCCCACTCATCCACTCTCAGCTGCTTCGGAGAAGGTGGTTCAGCAAGTGCATCTGCGTCCATTCTTCCGCAGCGTTGTAAAATAGGTGGAGAAATTGCAAGAGCGCGCGTGAATGCGCACTCATACGCTGCAGCGTGCGCATGCGCACTCGTACGTCTCCTGTGCGTCCCCGACGGTAGCTAGTATCCCTCAGTTCTCTCTAGTGGGCGTGAAAAACTTTAATGATTGCGGGTGAGGGTGAGAGAAGAGCTAAATGCGTGAGGCTCACGCATAATGTGCGAGAGTAGTCATCTCTGCGGCGGGGCAGAGTGAAACGAATGAACTGGGCTGGTGCGCCGTTTGTTTAGAAAGTGGTAATCCCGATTATACGCATATCTATCGCGATCATTTCCGTTCGATGAGTGCATAGGATCAAGTAATGGGATCAAGGAAATTCTCTGCGCATCGCCGCGTGACGGCGTGCGCATGCGCACGTGCGCCTTTAGTCAGTGAACTGTCAGCAATTCTTTTTAACGCTCTCTCTCTCCTCACAGCCTGTAGCAGTCGCTCTCTCATTAGTCACTGATGTCTCCTCTCTAGGATCTGGAGAGATTTTGTCTGACCATTTTCCTTCATGCTTCTCTCTTGCTGAATGTCGTTCTTCCTATATATTTCACTCCTCGTACTGTTAATCACACACTTGATTGGTCTAAGGCTAATAAATTTGATACGGAGAGATTCTGTGCTATGGTTCTAAAAACATTACTGCTTTACTGTTTTATGTTTGTGACTGTGCTTCACCATCCTGTTCAAGTCATTCTGCCTATCTGGATTCCTATGCTCATGATTTGGTTTATGTTCTTAATGTCAGATCCTGTTTTAAGTCTGAAGTCCGCCGTTTATGAAAGGGTCAGGATAAAATCTTAAGACATAAACTCATTTGCTCAAAAAGAACGAAAACCTCAACAGTGAATTCCTTAACAAAAAAGAGCTGGTAGTAGCTAAAGTTCGGACCATTGATGGCATTAGTGGGGACAATGACATTGCTAATTTGATGGCATCAAATTTAAAGAAAATTGTCAATACTCATTCGTGATTTTCTCTCTTATTCATCATTGTCTACGTCACATCTAGCTGATATTTGTGTGGTAGAGGATGAAGTTATTGGTTGCCTTAAGCCTCATAAGTCGGATACCTCTGGTATTTCACTGAACTTCTAAAGTATGCGACTCCTGTTGTGTCAGAGATTATTGGTGATCTGTTGGCTACATACCAAAATGTTTTCGCAATAGTGTGTTGGTACCAATTCCTAAAACTGGTAAAAACCTGTCCAACAGCGACAACTTTCGGCCTATTTCTCTTTCTTTTAGCTTAAGCAAAATCCTGGAGCATATCATTCTTGACTACGAATGCGCACGCGCATATTTTGCCTCGCGCCTGCCAGCCAATGTGTAAACAGTCCGACTGAGGCCGCTCGTGCGCGCGCTCTACTGACTGCGCGCGAAGCCAGATTTCCTACGAATCTGCGCGCACGGCGGATATTGATATTCTTAAGCGTGACTAATTGACATTCCCTAAGCGTGACTAACCTAAACGTGACTAATTGACATTCTTAAGCGTGACCGACACGTACATACGCATATCGCGAGAATACAACCCGGAGTAGTTGCCTCACGTTAACGCGCTCGGTAATAAGTATTCATACTAGTGAACATTGTTGGCGAGCGGGAGCGACCCAACTTGGGTTTTGTCCGTGATGTTGGGGCTGCATAACGCGCCGTCAGGGCACAGCTTCCTTTCGTGAAGCAAGACAGAGCCACCTGTCGCCGTTAAATGCGTACTGTGCGCATATTTTGCCTCGCGCCTGCCAGCCAATGCACGCGTAAAAAGCCCGCTGAGGCCGCTCGTTCGCGCGCTCTACTGACTGCGCGCGAAGCCAGACTTCCTACGAATCTGCGCGCACGGCGGAAGCTAGACTTCGTACGAATGACGGAAGTTGACATTCCTAAGCGTGACTAATTGGCATTCCTTAACCGACATTTCCAAGCGTGACTAATTGACATTCTTAAGCATGACCGACACGTACGTACGCATATCGCGAGAATACAACCCGGAGTATATTGTTACTATAATATAGTGGCATTCTTTGGGCGAGCGGAGCGAGCCTTAAAGTGTGCCGTATTAAGGATGAATATTTTTTAACAACCATCATCATTATGATAAGTTACGTAGCGACAGGTAAAATGTTTCAGCAAGTAGCTTACGTGTATTCTGCGCATGCGCGAACAGGCCTCTCGCTGAAGGCCTGAACAAGGCTAGCATAGTTCTAGAATGAGCATTACAATACTTCCCCTCATTCATGTGTCAGTTTCTGTACATATAACGTTTCTCAACTTTGAACCACAGCAAAAATTCAAACACATTGATAAAACATTATCTCAAGCCTGAGAACAGTAAATCGACTCCTGCTACATCACCAACAAGGATTTCCTTGTCCAGGGTGTGTGAGTGGACTACATTGTGGTAGAATTAGGAGTACTGGATTTAAACGTTAAGTATATTCCCTCCCGTTAGCATCAGTACTAGTACTGAAGGTCCCAGACCACACCACGAGGAGGTCGGAGGGATTGTGGTCCGCGTGAAGCGTGAGGGTGTGTGTATTTAAGATGTGGAGAGCATGTGCATAACAGACATACATGAAAGAAGACATGTTCCTTACCAGTGCCCAGAACAGATGTTCTTCACCAGCCTGACCAGAGTTCTCATAGAGGAATAATCCCTCAACATTACTGCTCCTTCATAGGTTGCCGTGGGGGTGGTCTTATCCATGCCTCTTCACCAGAGCAGCAGAACAGTGATCTTTTGAGACTTTCTTCACCCTGCTCTGGGGGTGGACTAATAATGCTCTTCACCAGAGCACCAGAACACAGGTCTTTTCACAAACTGGACTTTCTTCACCCTGCTCTGGAGGTGGACTTCTCCAAAATTTCTTCACCAGCCACCCAGAGCACTGGACTCGTTCACCAGTTGGTCTTCACCCTGTTCTGGGCAATGGACTTGGGTAATATTTCTTCACCAACCACCCAGAGCACTGGACTCGTTCACCAGTTGGTCTTCACCCTGTTCTGGGCAATGGACTTGGGTAATATTTCTTCACCAGCCACCCAGAGCACTGGACTCGTTCACCAGTTGGTCTTCACCCTGTTCTGGGCAATGGACTTGGGTAATATTTCTTCACCAACCACCCACAGAACTGGACTTTTTCACTAGTTGGTCCTCACCCTGTTCTGAGTAATGGACTTGTGTGGCATTTATGCAGCAACCACCATCCTTTCACCAGTTGGACTTGCTTCTGTTCATTTAGGTTTGACCAGCTGGACTTTCTTCATGCTGTTCTGGGCACAGTTTGTGAGGAAGATGTTGTCTTATCCTGTGCATGTCTGGATTTTGGCGACAGATCAGCATCCACTCCTCTGTGACCCGCGATGGTTGAATAGAGGTTTGGACTTCCTCTTGCTCCTAAAAAATGAATAACGAATATAAAATGACACAGTAGGTGCTACAGTATAAGGAATATTTAACCTCTGTTTCCTCAGTGTCATCTTCATTGCTTTGCAATAGTTGGAGCAGACGATACATATCATCCTCGAAACAGCATAGGCATCGATGTAGTTGTCACACCCAGAGAGGAGATCGTCCATCTGGCGAAAAGGCTTGTGTTGCATCAGTGAGTGGCGACAGTACTGTTCATACTTCTCCCCAGCAGGGTCTGGTGAGACGTACGGTCGAGGGATGACGACAATACGTCTGCTCCTGCGAGTTGGCTCAGCTCCGAGTGTCTTGGGCATGCTGGAAAATTCCAGGAGAGTCATGGGATTGAAGTGAGGGGAGTCAGGTCGTCCCATGTAGTGGTCACCGATGGAGAGTGCTGTAGCACGCTGCCCCTCCTCCTAACAGCACGAGACCCATCGAGGCTGAGGATGATGAAGTCACGTGATGCCTTGAATATTGGTAGCTGCAGTAGTAGGTGGCAAGTCTCCTGGGCCGAGTAGTCTCTCTCTCCGACAGTGTTGATGAGGAGCTTCTGGACTGCCTTGAGAGAGCTGTTGCCTTCTTGGAGTCCACGGACGATAGTGGTGGAGATCTCCTTGAGTGACTGAGAGCGTGGCTCACTCTTGGTGACGTACTTGGTGCAGTACTGCAGGACTCTCTGGCGGGAGACGATGTACTGCATGTCCATGTTAGCTCGTCATGCAGACAGCTGAACTGGGTTGAAGCTGTTGATTAACCCGTCGTTCCTAGCTGTGAGGAGAGTTGGCTCGTCCTCTGTGATGATGGCTGTGTGTGGCTGCAGAGGCTTGGGGTAGCCAAAGCGGCACTCCTGTTTGCCATGCTTCGTCCTTAGGCAGTATGAGGCAGAGCAGCGAGTGTGTCTCTGGCAGGTGGCCACCAGATCAGCCAGGTCCTGGTCAAAGTCCTGGATGTCCCCATATACCTTGTTGCAGATGTGGGGATGAACCTTTGGAGCTGGTGCATCAGCAATGTTTCTGCCATCTGGAGGAGAGCAGGGTTGGTGGTGGAGACAAGCTGATCAGCATGCCTGGTGATCTCTGTGTGGAGTGCTTCACTGGCATCATCACCTAGTTACTCCACATCTGGTGTATCAGGTAACCAGGCTAGACCATGGATGTGAGGGCTGCCCCGGTGTTGCCACTCAAACCTCAGCCAGTAGTCTGTGGCTCCAAGGACTCCAGTGTAGAAGACCTTGACGAATTCAATGACTCTGTGGTAGAAGAACCAGTCTGCGAGGGCTGGATTCTCCATGACTCCCTTGGCTCTGGCAGTCCTGGAGTCAGGGTTGTCTGAGTCGAGCAAGCTCTGGCCACTGGAGGTCTGCTGCACTGTGGGTAAAGAAGACTGTCGGCAGACCCAGTGTGTCGACCATGGAGAGCAGACGACTCCGCTGACGTTGCCAGTACTGCTTGGTACCACACAGACTAGAGGCATAGTGGAGTACTCGACTGGAGAAGGCCTCTCCCCACCATGTCCCGCAGCTCGTCCAGGGACAGCTGAGCATCTCCTGGGTGTTGCCTGACATAGACTCTACCAGTTTGCAGAGCACAATGTCGCATCTCTGTGTTTAAGGCAAAGAATCCGAATCGTGGGTGTCTAGCGAAACGACCGTCATCATACTGCATTAGGTGCTTGAAGTAGTTACCAATAGTGACTGGGACCTGACGCTGGCCAAGAAAGTCAGCTGCTCCAGTGGGGAAGAGGGTGGGGAAGGCACAGGTGAAGTAGCCCTCAGTTGTGAACTCATTGAGTGGCATTCCACCAATGGAGGGCCACATCAGAGGTGTATGGGAGGAAGAGCTGGACTGACGCTGATCCACTGACTGCAGTACCGCCTCATGCTCCGTCATTGATGGGGTGGCAACAGGAATAAATGACTGGGGTAGATACTATCATACAATTCATCTTCAGTTTCTGAAGTACTGGCAGACACTGCAGAGCTTTCTGACTCTGAGGAAGACGCTGGTTCAGTGGCAGACACAAGATCAGATACATTCCCATCTTGCGGGAGCTGCTCCAAAACAGTGCTATCAATGGTGACACCCAGTGCACTGTAGTACTGGTTGTGTGTGACCAGCCACTGCAGAGCTCTATGAACCACTCCTCGCCTCACTCTTAAGTCATGATGGGTCTGGTTGTCTCCCTCCCTCCTCACGACAATAATGTCCAGGTTAGAAGGCAGCCGTGGGAGACTCTGTGCAAAGGATGCAACATCTTGAGGAAGATTGACTATATGTCCACTGTAGCCATACTGTCCCAGAGGTAGTTTCTACAGACACATGATGGGCATCACTGCTGAGATTAGCATTTCTTCTACCTGGGTCAGACCCTGTAAATGAAACACACAGTAAAGCACAAGATTTAGAAAACCCATGTGAACTTCAGTAACCGACATGAACTGACACATTCCGTAACCCATGTGAACAAGAACTGACACATTGAGTTACATTCCAATAAATTGAGGAAACAGAACTAACACATTACAACTGTAACGAATATTCAGTGGTAAGAAACTTCATTGCTAGCTGGGGTGTTGGTGAGAACACCATGCATATACAATGAAGGTCCCTGCATGTGTTGTCAGATTGAATTAACACAACTCTGGTGGTTGAGGACCTGGATGCATGTTGTTCAGAGCAGAGTAGGTCTTAGGGTTGTGCTTGTTTCGAAAATAGCGCACACACTCAGTTCCAGATGGAGTGAACTTAATAGTGATGCCAGGGAATCTCTCACTGCAGGTGATGCACATGGACATCTGCAATACTGCCATTTCAGAGTGAAACTTGTTCATGTGTGTTGGACAGCAGGTTGATGAAGCAGGGGTTGCACCGAAGAAGCAGGACATGCATGATGCATGTGTTATTCACGTTGACGTCTTCTTTCAGTATCTTCTGGAGTTTCAGATGCAATTCTTCGTTGCTGGTTAGTTCGTAGGTGTTGTAGGCGGGCCTCTCTTTCATTACTAGACTCCGCAGCAATTCCGCTCTTTTCTTGATTACTTCGTCGCTGCTGCAGGCGGGCCTCTCTCTCTTCGCAAGACTCCCTAGCAATTCTGTGTTCTTGATTACTTTGTAGCTCTGCAGGCGGGCCTCTCTCTCCTCGCAAGACTCCCTAGCAATTCTGTGTACTTCGTCGCTGCTGCAGGCGGGCCTCTCTCTCCTCGCAAGACTCCCTAGCAATTCTGTGTTCTGGATTACTTCGTAGCTGCTGCAGGCGGGCCTCTCTCTCGTCACTGGACTCAGTAGCAATCCTCAGTTGTTGATTAATTCGTACCTGCTTGAGACGGGCCTCTCTCTCCTCGCTAGACTCACTTGCAATTCGTCCTGCCAGCCAGTCACGGGCACATATATATGCCCAATTTTACATAGGGCTATAATACAGTATTAGCGCACTGTACTGTATAGCTATATAATAATATATTCCTACAGATTTATGGACGCTCTGGGCATATTTATGTGCCCGTGGCTGGCTAAGGGTTACGCTCATAGCAAGAAGGGAGTCCAAACGCAAATCAGTATGTGAGGCTGGACGTGTCCGATCTTAGATCGCCGAGGTAGCTGCAATACTACGCGGAATAAGCGGAAGTACTATAGGTGAAGGCGACTCCTCTTAGTGCAGGTTGGAGGGCTTGAACTCCGCTTTTACTGGATGTTGTTATATTCCAGAAAGCTTCGTGATGAAGGACGATTTGCAGGGCGGCCGTCGGTTGACCGACGTTACGTAATATCGGCAGTCGAGGGCATAACTCGGCAACAAAAGCGCGTCAATTCTCCAAACTTGGAACGAAGGATTATCATTTGCAACACTACATCCTAGATGTAGAATAACTAAATAAGGTTTATCGTAAAATCAGGAGGACTGTCCGATTATACATGGTGTCCGACCTTTGATGAGCTACTCTAGTTGTACGCGCATTGCCTGAGTCAATGATTATGTCACTCATTTTCTTCTTCACTCTCACACAATCCAACGTGACTTAGTTGTTCTCTGGTCCACCGGAGAAAGCTGAGAGCTCTTGGGTCGCCTGAGAGTTTATAGGTCGACCTGAGATTTTATAGGTCGACTCCAAATTTTTTTGTTACAGATGGCGTCCATACTACCGACGCTCTAATAGCATGGCAGCGTTCATGAAAGCGAACATAATTGGCGAGCGGAAGCGAGCTAACCTAGTGGTCCGAACGGCGCGATTTTCTATATAATTATAATTATATATAATTTATGTTCACCGTACGTCGTCCAACTGCGCATGCTCCAGCATTACGCGCTTCTTTTTATCCGAAAGGGATTTCAACATTTTCATAATGCTGAGGGGAAACGCAACACCTCCGAAGCTATCGAGTATTGCTGCACAGTCCAGCGAGAGATTTTTCTACATTGCCACTTGTTCCCTATTCTGCAAGACCAATCAGATTGCCGGATTATGCCTGATTCGCGCTGTCGTCTGACTGTTTTTGACTCGACTCGAATTGTCTACTGCGCTCGGGTCGTTTCGGCCTACTTGGTCCTGTGCAATGTATCTCACTGTTTTGTGCACACACAAGAGTGACTCATACGATTAGACCCCAATTGTAAGCGCGCTTCCGCTCGCCATGCATTCGTCTACTAGTTATTTACTTAGCCCAGCCCGCTGCTCACACGCGGAGGGGCGGGGTCTGGGAAAAAATTTTAGAGAACTAAATACGGCAACGGTAACTGTCGGGTCCATCTCTGATGTATACTTACCCCCGACAAAAGACCCGTGACCTTCTCGCATAATTGTCTCCTGTTTATTCAAGCAGTGTGTAAGTAAGCTCTTGCAAACAAGTATGTAAGAGCATCCGGAGCGTTTCACGCCTTATGAATTTAGTGTGATTTAGTGATTGCAGGCCAGCCTACATAAATTCATGGCTGAAGGTGTTGGATTCGAAATCCCTGTGTCTGTCCGTGAACGGTATTACAAAACATTTTGTTCGGTTGGTAAGAGATATTGGAGCTTCTTTGTATGGATTTCACTTTTGGTGTATAGGAGGAATTGAAGAACAATGCGTTTTACAACATTCAAACAGGTATATACTAGGTAAATGTAAATAATCTCTGCAAAACACTTTTAACCTCTGTAATAGGGTGTGTGTTGTGTGTCTTTCTCCTACCCATCCTTTAGTGAAGAATTCTAATGTAACTGTAGCCAGTATCGATTTTCTGGTAGACGGAAAGAGGAAAAAGGTAAGTTAATGCCAGAAGTTAATTGTTCTGAATCAATTTTATGCAGAAGGTTACCAACAACTCTATCCTCTGTGTTGTTCACTGTAAATCAGGTGTAACCTATTCTCTACGAAGGTATAATGGTTGTATGGACTAAACCAGTGCACTACCTACATGCATGTTTTTTAAGTTGTGTCACAGGTACCCTTTTGGAGATGAATGACCAACTGTTGTCTAAACCTACCCTTATTCAAAGCAAGGTATTCATAAAAGTCGTAAATGATCTAATTATGTTCCTCTTTGCAGCCAATGGGAAAGGGCCACATTGCAATTCTACTACCTAAAGATAAATATACTGTTTGTGTTAATATGCTGACATAAGTATCTTCATTTAATGATTAACTTTTTCCAGAATGTGTTAAGGTGACGTTTACTCTGCTAATTTATAACACTGGCTATATTTGTTAAGGTGAATATTATACATACTGTAGTACTGCATGTGTAAGCCTAGGTCTCACTCTGCCGGCCAGCTCACTTGGTCCCTATTAACTTTTAAACATGTTACCCACAACATGCAAGGCAATGATGTGAAGGAATTTTGTGGCTGATAGACATTTGAAAGTCCAGTCATCTTGCCACATATTTTAGTGATTTTTCGATTACAAGGCCAAAACACTGATGATTTATGGCGAATTTTGGTATTTTTCTCTAGAATTTTTGGGCTTTGTTTTACAAACTCATTGGCATCTTCATATCCCACCTCCATACATTCTTTCCGGTGGGTGACCACACGGGGAGCGAACGGTTCTTCGCCGTGATGCGCTGTGGCTTTCTCTACCTCCTTCTGTGTGCGCAGCCCTATTTCAGCACCTTCAAAAATGGGTGGAGCCATTCTAATGCGCATGACAGTGAACTTCAACTTTATGGAGACACGTGCTTGGTAGCTGAGGTTGCTGTATGTCATTAACCCTCGGCACACATGCGCAGCAAGGGTTACAGTCTGTCCGTCCGTTTGTCTTTTACCACCTTTTCTGCCATCACGAGCGACAAAACTACAAAATAGCAAGTTTGTGGTCACACTGGCTCTATTTTTAAAAAAGGCGATTCTCGTGAAAAGTACTGCAGATTCTTTCTTCATGTAACCGTTATTGGAGCTACATCATTATTAATTGTTACTTATGAATATAATTAACATATCCTAGTGGTCTAATGATCCAATTATCTTGGTTCTACTAGTTCTCTTGGTTGCTGGGTTCCACTTTTCTCAGTTCTTTTGGTTCTCTTGGTTTTACTAGTTCTCTAGGTGCCATTAGTTCTGCTGGTTCTCTGGGTTTGGTTCCACTAGTTCCCTGGGTTCTACTGGTTCTACTAGTTCTCTTTGTTCAACTGGTTCTATGAGTTTTCTAGGTTCCATTAGTTCTGCTGGTTCTCTAGGTTCCATTGGTTCTCTTGGTTCTACTGGTTCTCTTTGTTTAACTGGTTCTATCGGTTCTCTACGTTCCATTAGTTGTACTGGTTCTCTGGGTTCTTTTGTTTGGTTCCATTGGTTCTCTTGGTTCTACTGCTTTTCTCGGTTCCACTGGTTCTCTAGGTTTAATTAGTACTGCTGATCTCTGGGTTCCACTGGTTCTCTATGGTCCTCTAGGTTCCATTAGTTCTGCTGGTTCTCTAGGTACTGCTGGTTCCCTAGGTTCTACCTAGGTTCCATTAGTTCTACTGGTTCTCTAGGTTCCATTGGTTCTGCTGGTTCTCTAGGTACTGCTGGTTCCCTAGGTTCTACTGGTTCTCTAGGTTCCATTAGTTCTGCTGGTTCTCTAGGTTCCATTGGTTCTGCTGGTTTCTAGGTACTGCTGGTTCTCTAGGTGCTACTGGTTCTCTATGCTCCATTAATTGTGCTGCTTCTGTATGTTCGATTGGTTCTGCTGGGTCTCTAGGTTAGTTCTGCTGGTTCTCTATAGGTTCCGTTAGTTCTGCTGGTTCTCTAGGTTCTGTTAGTTTTGCTGGTTCTCTGGGTTCCAGTAGTTCTGCTGGTTCTCTGGGTTCCATTAGTTCTGCTGGTTCTCTAGGTTCCATTAGTTTGGCTGGTTCTCTATGTATTGCTGCCTGGTTCTTAGGTTCTACAAGTAAAAAAAATTCTGCGAATTAAAAAAGTGTGGAATATAGGGATGCCATAAAAAGCAAGGAGACAAGACATGGGTGATCTACTCATGACATGAGTTTTGTGTGAAGACTGGCGAATTCTGTGGGGAAAGCAACATTGTAAAACCGGTTAGTTGAGCGAACATTGAAGTAAACACAGTCACGATTTAAAACTGAGGACCTGTCAGAGAGGGCATTTGCTACCAGTCTTACGTGCATAGGAAACGAGTCATAGCTGCACATCATATGATAGAGATCACTCGTGCTTTGCGACAATATACGGTAAAATTTACATGAGCAAGAAATGTCAGTTTGAAGATGTAACAATCATCCCATTGTACTAATGCATCACATGCCCAGGTCATCCCTGTCTTGTCTCCTTGCTTTTTATGGCATCCCTATATTCCACACTTTTTTAATTCGCAGAATATTTTATTTACTTGTCTCCTTTCCATTTTTTACGGCATGCACATGCATTGGGGGCGGTCTGTTAGTCGTCATCTGCATTTTTATTTCACTTCCAAAGTAGATAAGTGTACAAAGTTATAGGAAAAACAGCACTTAATTGCCTGAGGCTGTTTGTTGTTGTTTACAAACTTGTAATTTCTGTTCGATGAACTCTTATCATCGAACATCAGTGTACCGATTTTCATTGTTAGAGGTCCCACCATAACGCAATAATATAGTTTACAAGTTTTTATTCCCTGAGGCTGTTTGTTGTTGTTTACAAACTTCATTTTGATTTTTGATACTAAATGATGGGTTGCATGTGTATACAAAGTTTTATCACTCTGGGTATTAGCTTTACCCAGTTATTTGTCTCTATCATAATGTATTGCCTGGGGATATTTGTTGTTGTTTACGAAGAAATAAAACTGCTCTTGCACAACCTTCCAATATCTGTGCAGTGTCATATCCATATCTTATCCGGTTTTTGAGATACGCTTGTCTAAACTGAACAAGAAGAAGAAAAGTGACTTTTTGAAGAAATCAAGTACAGATTATGCGATTTGAGCTATTTCTTGGATACATGCTCTTTGTGACGATACAAATTAGTCTGATGTGTCAAAAGTTGGATCTGATTGAAATAGAAAGTGAAACATGGAAATCTCAAATGTATTGGCATAATGCAGGACAATCTGTGTCATCCCTACTAAGTACTACCATACTTAGTGATAGGTTCTACTGGTTCTCTAGGTTCTCTAGGTTCCTGCTGGTTCTCTAGGTTCTCTTTCTCTGTTCCACTTGCTCTCTCTGGTTCAGCTTCTCTCTGTAGGTTCATGCACTGCCGTTTATGTGTGTGCCACTATAAATGCAACTGGCTGAAATTGATGGCTACAATGTTCTTTTCTAGTGCGTTTTGAAGCACTCTGTTTGAAATAACGAGATATGCTGTCCACAAGAAGTTCCCTCCTCCTCCTTCTCCTTTTTCCTGTTATTTAAGTACACAGAAACACTATTAATAAGCTAGCTAATCATTATCATACATACTTGTTGCAGTTGAACCAACCAGTAGCAGTCCCTGTAGAGTTAAAGCTATATAGCACATCTCAGCAACGTTGTTCAGCACATAATCTCCGTCAGTACTGTCAGCAGTGTCCTCAGGACGACAGTCCCTGTAATGTGTAATTAGCAGGTTTTAGCAGCATTCAGCAAAGTTGTTTAAAAAGGAGGCATATAGGGATGGTATAAAAAGAATGGGAGACAAGATAGGGATGGGATACATGAAGCATGGTTAATGAATGAATAGATTTGAGCACGCTGACACCCCAACCCTATCACACAATCCCTATATTGTTGCCTAGGTGAAGTATTAAACATTCAACATTATCAGGACATACAGCTTGAAAATACACGCTACTGAGTAACCAAGAGTACAAATGGAGTTTACGAGTGGCACACCAGGCAACAATACAGGGATAATCCCGGATTGTGTGATAGAGTCTCACTAAGTACGGTAGTGCTTAGTATAGTTAATTCAAAATCCAGCGAATTTGAAAAAAGAGGCATATAGGGATAGAAAGGGAGACAAGATAAGGATGGGATACATGAAGCATGGTTAATGAACACATTTGAGTACGCTGACACCCCAACCCCATCACACAATCTATATTGTTGCCTGGTGTGCTACTGTTATAGGGGCTAAATAATAGTTAGAAGCTGATTCGAGGTAACTACGCGCAATAGAAAGCCGAGAGCCCCGGCATTGTGGCGCCCCGAGCGCAGCGAGGGCGCTACCCCCGGGGCACGAGGCTTTCTACCGGCGCGTGGTTACCGAGGAATCAGCGTCTAACTATTTTAGAGTGAGCGCTTCACGTTGAGCGCTCTGGCTTTCCTGTTCTTTCGTATGGCGGAGCGCGTCTAACGATGACTCGATGGAGACAGGCTCAGAGCGCCAGAAAATGCAGAGCAAGAAGAGCGAAGCGGCAGAGACACGCGGTAGCGACTCCGTCTTCTTTTTCTGGTTGCGCGCAGGGGGGTCTGCGCGTGCGCGTGGACGACGCATCAATGTAGATTCAGTTGTTGATCTTGTTGTTTACATGTACATTTTGTTCTGTTTTCCTGTTTTATCTGTAGGTTTTGTAGTTTCTGTAGGTTTACTATATAGTAAACCCCGTCGAGGTTTACTACGGGAAATAGTAAACCTCGGCTTTGCAATCTGATTGGTCAATTCGAACCTAGCTCACTCTAAAGGTTACTAAATGTAAGCGTTCTTTCACCATGCCCCTGTTTACTTTTATACTGGAACATTCCCTTTAATTAAACTCCACTTGGACTCTATAATGGTGTTGGTTACTCAGTAGCATGACTTTTTTTGTATTATAAGTTCTGAATAATTATTGTAATGGTGAATGTTTATACTTCAACTAGGCAACAATATAGCGATTGTGTGATTTTGATGTTGGCTATTGAATACATTATGTATACAAAATTTCGTTTTACCAATTGTACAAAAAAAGGTACTACAGTGACATATGTAGTATGCCCATTATAATGTATTGCCTGGGGCAATTTTGTTAACGCGCATGCGCAGCAAGGGTTACAGTAGTTAGTTTGTCTGTCTGTGTGTGTGTCGACGCTTATTCTGGCACTACAGGCTACGAGGCGGCCTATTAGCGATACCAGCGGCTTCAGAACTACGCGAGCCTGAAAAAGTAACGGGCGATTTTCCTGAAACGACTGCATTCCAGAGATAATGGCGTGAAAACAAGCGATAAAGCCAATATGCATATTAGCACTGGGCTTTGATCCGCTTGCTCCTGTGTACCTTGGGGGCTCAGGTAGTCACAACGAATGGCATGTATCGACTCCCGCATGCTATCTACTACTGTCTGCATGAGCTACAAGCGGGAGACCACAAGTAAACGCGTGCAAATAGCCCAGCCATCAATTAGCAGTATCGCGCATGTGCAGGGTTTGCACTTTAGTGATTTTCATTGTTTACAGTAAACAACATCGTTTATAAACAAATGAAAAGCACTGAAGTGCAAACCCTCGGCGCACTGTGACGCGCACGCGTAAGTAAATGCATGTGCCGTACCACTAATTGATGGGCTGGGTTTAGTTTTAGCTGTTACTCGTGGTCTCTTGCCAGCTCGCGCAGAGTCTGACGCGGGCTAACTACACTACTAGATAGCATGCGAGAGGCGATACACGCCCTGCGTTGCATCTTCTGGTGCCTCCGAAGTACGCAGAGCACGACCGCGGTAAGCCATCCCGTCCGTTGCGTATTTGCAAATTAGCTTTTTCGCGCTCTAGCTTTGCAACGGAGCATTTTCAGAGAAAACCGCCTTTATTTTCTGACCTTCGTCGCCTGTTGGGTAGATGGTATCGTTTCTGGGAGAAACAGACGTTCGAGGAGTGAGATATAGAGTAACAGACAAACAGACAGAAAGACAGACGGACCCAACTACTGTACCCTCGCTGCACATGCGCACCGAGGGTAATAAGTATGACATTGCACATGTGGTTATTGATATGTGCATTCCTAAAAAATTTCATGGCTTTATCTCTTTCGGTTTTTGAGTTATGCTTGTTGAAGAAGAAGAAGAAGAAGATGATGATGATGATGATGATGATGATGAACAAAAACCCCTATCATAGCCCCATCCTTATCTTGTCTCCCTTTCTTTATACCATCCCTATATGCCTCTTTTCGCATCTTCTATCTTGGCGCATTTATGCGTATCCCAATTAGAACAGATCGCTCCGCTCGCCCAAAGAATGCGAAGCATTTCCACTATTTTTTTTATTTTTATGAATGCACATTATTAACCCTTGGCGGGCATGCGCAGCAAGGGTTCGTAAGTGTCTTTCTGTCAGTCTCTCCGTCTGTCTGTTACCACATTTTCTACCACTACGCGCAAGAAATCGGCTCAAAGAGCGATAGTAACGGGTTCAGTGCTACACTGTCTTGATTTGATTTTCATAAAACTACTGTGTTCTAAAGTATGGCGTGAAAACCAAGCGAACAAGCCAATATGTTAATAATTAGCACAGGCTTACCTCGACCGCGTCCGCTTGCTCTGTGCAGAAGTCACCACGAAGGGACCCCCGCGTGCTATCTACTAGAAGAAACGAACCTACTATTCTAACTACAGTTGGAGTATGGAATGGTAACAAGGCATCCCCCTAAATGAGGGTGTCAACAATTTATCATTTTTCATTTTGTCGTAGACAAAAGTGTGGAAAAAGAGATATAGTGCAACAATGCATGTACACTTCCAATAATTGGGAAATCTTATTTTTGCACATAACTTCTTTTCTGTTTGCTCTACTAATAACAAACCTTAACACAATGGTCAAAACGTCAAGAAGAAATGGTTGCCATGGTTACCATTACGTAATCACAAATAAACATGAATAGGTAATTTTCCTGTTTACATTTTCATAATGCACCCTACATGGACAAAATGGGTATCATTCTCAATGTGCTCTACTAATCTATCAGACAACTTTTTTTTTCTTTCTTCCATAGAATATTTCATGAATTATTTTCGATTTATGACATGATTATCTGGATAAGTATGTACTTTCACAGGGTATTACATAGACATTTTCCTAGAGAGAGGTAATACATAAGGCTACATAAAAAAAGCATAGAGAAATAAAAAAGAAATATTCCCACAGACACTTGGTCGAGGTGTTATATCCATAGCGCTCGGTCATATGATCACTGTCCGACTACATGCTTATATCTAGGTCAAAGGAGGGGTCTATATCTTTATTATCCGTCTCCAATTCATGAATACTGACGTCTAGGAGGTCTACCATACCGTTAACATCGTCTTCATGCGAGGCCGCGCCCGACTGAGCGACCTCCGTCGAACTCTCGCCCGCGGAACGCCTTCTTTTCTCTTCCCTTACCTTCAACTCTCGCTGTCTCTTCTTAGCTTAAAAGACTCGAAAACAACCGAAGACGCCTCTCTCACTTTCGCGGCAAACACGCGGCAATACGTTGGTGACGTTACGTAACAGTAAAAGTTTTACATTACAGCCTTGGAAGCGCTACAAATCGGCGGGTACAATGAAAGCATATATACGTAGGTCCCATGGACATAAACCATTGCAAACTTCGTGTAAAGCGTCGTTCAATGCATAAAAAATTGTTTTCATAGAAACAAAATTTTGGAAGTTTATGCACTGTTGCACTATACCTTGACTTTGACTGCAGTGGGAGTATGGAATGGTAACATCTTCATTCTTGCTGCCCAAAGTTCGCTATATCCTGTAAGTAAGTGTTAACGATTTTACATATTTTGTAGGCACAAGAGTTAAAAAAGAGACAAACCAACTATCCTTAATGCAATGACTAAAGTTTGAGTAGGGAATGGTAACATCTTCTCTCTTACCCCTATCTCGCCCAAATTCTAAATAAGGTTGTCAAAACATTTTTTGCATTTTTTGTAAGCACAAGGGTTAGAAAAGAGACAAACCAACTATTCTTAATACGTACTTCAACTACTGTTGGGTATCAAGTATCATCTATCTTGCTGCACTTATCCCTATCTCGCCCAAATTTGCCACCCCCCTAAATAATAATGTGAACTACTTGGCTTTTTTGTAGGCAGAGTGCAAAAATAGACAAACCAACTCGACTCTCTTGTTCTATACATACTTACTATGAAGTTCCTGGAGACACTAAGTATCTGCGGCATGTTTTCAGCGCGCCAGTTTGGGGGGTGAACCAGCCCGGGTAGCTACACCGAGGATATAGGAAAGGCAAGTAACTAAACCCGGTACCCGCTGATAGCCTATATACTGGTGGCTCTGTTTGCTAGCCACTTGCATGGTGAAAAACTTACAGGGCCGATTCATCATGTATCACAACACCTGATACTTCACTGCGCAATCTTCTGACGTGCGCGCGAAGAAGCCGCGCATGCGTATAAATGTATAAATGTACAAATCGACCCCTAGCTTCCACCACGCAGGAAACACATTCTCAATAAAAGGAATTTACTGCGACTTGCCTGCTGTTATTAGTACAAAAAGATGAATTTCACTATTCTCTTTTTTCTGGGTCTCTGCATTGGTCAGAGCCTTTCTTCCTTTAGACGGTTCGTCCACATTAGCAATGTTCCAATTATACTCTAAAGCTCTCTCATTCCAGGATTCCTTTCCGAAAACGCAGTTGGTTCAATAAGTTGGAGCACTTTAAATTGTCTCTGCTGCGAACAAGAGGGCGTTATGAACCCAATCCTGATAGGGCACTCCACATGGAGGACTCACCTGAGCTACTAATAAACTACAAAGACGTGAGTCAAAATTTATGTTGCAACAATAATAGAGGTTATATTTATTAACACTTTTACTTCATTATTCAAGACCCTTTAAATGCATCTACTGTATCAAGCAGCTAGTTTATGTTGAGCTACATCTACAAATACGTAGCTTGCATCGATAACCTTTGCTGAATACCGAGTAATAATTAGTAACGATAGCCCCTAATGTATTCTAATTTCTCTATTTCCCCTCCCATGCTTCTTCCTCCTTCCATCTATAGCTCTATTATTACGGCAATATATCCATCGGAACTCCTGACCAAAACTTTACTGTGGTGTTTGACACTGGATCCTCTAACCTCTGGATACCATCTGCTGAATGTGCCTCTAATAATAGAGCCTGTCGTAAGTAAAGTTCGAACAATGTTGAATTATGAATTATGATGGACAACTTTTTATTACAGAGGTTCATTGCACGTACAATCATTCTTCAACAACTTATGTTCCCAATAGAGAGGACTTCTCTATTCAATATGGAACAGGGAGTCTGAGTGGGTTTCTCAGTCAAGACGTTGTTACAGTGAGGGTTCCAGTATTATGTAGATGGTTTCGAATGCTTCTCTTTGTCTTTCAACTATTGACACTCACTCTCTCTTGAGAGTAAGGCAGGGGCATCAAAGTTTAATTTTTAACAAGCACCACTGGCCTTTGGTAAACCTGAAAGTACCATCTTCAATGAGTGGTGCATATATACAACGTCACTCCACTACGTATAATCTTCATGCGAAAACTATGAGGTAGAAAGGCAAAGGCACAACAAACAAATCAACTACACCTAGGACAGCTCTTTTTTTCCAAGGAAAAATAAACAGCTGCCCTAGGTGGGATTCGAACCCACGACACTCTGCAGTCTAGGCGAGCGGCATGCACTGGTCGATAATGAAGGGCTAATAAAGGCTTGTACATCCAGAAAGCAGGAATTCACGTGAAGTTGGTAGCTCGAAATGCAGGGGATCTTGCTGTAGAAAGGAACTGTATGCTTAGCTCAGTTATCAGTTTATCGTGTTTCAAATGGCAATGATCATCTAGTGTTGATGAATCACAATACCAGGGGATAATTATTATTATACTTCCGGGCAAAACTTCTTATACCCTGGAGTCCTTGGAAGCCAAATCCCGGATATCCAGGGAGTTCGTTGGTAGTTTGGAAACATGTACTATGCCTCCATATGCAGTAGCTGTACTTTGGATACGTCTGCACAGCAAGCACAATCTAGGTAACCACATGTAGTGGGTGCTGAATCTCATCTGTGATGGCTCTTCCCATTACAAAATGCATATAAAATTAGATGGTTTCTGGTGTGAATATAGAAGCAAGTGTTGTGATCAGTGAGGTGTCTTGATACGTAGTAGAAGAGAAAGTGCCATAATTAGTTTGACTACCAGTTATTGTGCTGGTGTAATAAGATTTTTTGTAACATAATAATGTAATTCCCAGTTATAAAGGTGGGTAAATAACGGAAACCCACTGCAGCTCGCTAAAGAAACCATTTTTCCACTCCTCTCTCTCTGACACCCAAAGGTTGCTGGAATAAAAGTACGAAATCAAATCTTTGGTGAAGCTACAGAACAACCAGGTATTATCAGCTGTTTTCCGCATGTTTTTCGTATAGGCCTGTGTATACATTACAGGTGAGGTGTTCTTTAATGATCTCTATGATGGAATTCTTGGAATGGCTTGGCCTGCAATATCAGTAAAACAAGTGACACCAGTCTTCCAGAACATGGTGTCCCAGAATCTGGTGGAAAAAGCAGTTTTTGGGTTTTACTTGAACAGGCAAGGCAATTTGGTGATTTTACCATGCATCACAGATTCAATCGCGTGTATATAACAGCCAGGGGTGATGAAGCTAAAGGTAGTGATTTTTAAAGACATGCCTATGTTTCATAGATTTATATAGTCAATGATTAGCTGCTGATCAACAAAAAAAATTAGCTGGTTCCGTGCTTGAGATTATTGAGTAACACCATCGCTTTTCCTGGCACAATGTTAATGTGTGCAGGAACTATTCAGATAATGCAGCTTACTTTGCCCATCATGTGCTACACAATGTTCACGGTTCTTAGGAAGGAGAATCCCTTCTAGAAGGTTACTAGTTTGTTTGTTAATACATGCAGAGATTATGACAAAGATGAACTAGGTGGGGAGCTGATTCTCGGAGGAACAGATCACTCTCACCACAATGGCCCATTACAGCATGTTGATGTAGAACTCCCTCCAACCTACTGGCGTTTTAAGATGGACAGGTATTGGTGATGCAAAAGATATGGAAAGATCTGTTAAGGATTGCTAATAGCACATAGATCAAAGCCCTACAAGTGAAGATATTATTAACCCTCAGCGCGCATGCGCAGCGAGGGTTACAGTAGTCGTTCTGTCTGTCCGTCTGTCCGTCCGCGCGAGTTCTAGCACTACAGGCTACGAGGTGGCCAATGAGAGGCACCAACGGGTTGTGAACGACGAGAAGATTGATATTAATGTGGCGATTTTCCCGAAACGACTGCGTTCCAAAGATATGGCGTGAAAACAAGCGAAAAAGCCAACGCGCGGTGGATCGCGCACGCGCCCTCTCCTGCAGGCTATAATTGCTATATAGCGCTCACGCGTAATGTCAACTAATCGCCGGAGCATGCGCTTGGTTGTATATACGATCCACTGTCTCCTGTCAGTTTTGATCTCTGTTCCCTGTGGATAAATGATAAACATGCTGAGCAAGCAATAGTTCAGGTGGCGAGCAGTTTGTGGTTGCGGCCTTGCCTTCCCATCTATAAAACGTCTGGCGAGAGCATTGAAACACAGAAGAGCAGATAGATTGAATAAAGCAAAGATGAGAGCCTCTGAAGTACCTGAGCTATTGGTCTAACCGCTAATGCAACTACCCTGTGTTACGGTGAAACTCGTGTTACTGGCTCTGTCGATGACGCACGGCCCAGCATACAACGATGCTACAACTCGCTAGTTTACCGCCGAGGGTTTGCATTTTAGTGCTTTTCATTTTAATGAGTAGTCTTGGGTCTTCGGTGCTATCTAGATCAGAGTGGGAGTTGTTACTGGGTCAGTCTTCCCCCCAGCCACAATGCGTATGGGGAAATCTTCTGTTGGGTGGGCAATTGACCAATCCTAATGGTTTTACGCAACTGTAGTCAACCAGTTTAATACACACATGGTTTGGCATGCAGTTAATTATGCCTTTGTGAATGAAATGATAACCCCCAGGGAATACTAATTGAATAAATTGCATTATCTAACCCTGCTGTAACATTCATAAAACTCGCCCTTTCTCTCATCCCTCTCTTTTACACAGCATTACAATTGACCAGAAAACATCTAACTATTGTTCTGGTGGATGTTATGCAATTGCAGACACAGGTTCATCAGTTGTTTTTGGGCCTATGGACGACGTAGAAAAACTTAATGCTCAGCTGGGAGCATACCAGAATAACCATCAAACTGTGAGTATTAGCAGAGAATGAAAAAACACAAAGCGAGGGAACGGAGATACAGATAAGATGAGGGAGATGAAGCTATATATATTCCTTTGTTTGCAGTACTTTGACTGTGGCAGTCTGAACTCCTTGCCAAAAGTTGGATTCCAAATAAACAACACCATATTCGAGCTGACTGGGCCAGAATATGTAGTCAACGTAAGTTTGCAATACACACCTTAAGCTACATTGCCAGCTGTGTATTGAGTGCAAGTGTCAAAACTATTACAGCATAAGTATGAAAATTGCCCTTAAGGGGGTCTATTATCCATCTCCAGATAACACAGGGTGGTGAAACTACCTGCCTGAGTGGGTTCCAAGGTCTTAATTTTCCACAACCCATGTGGATTCTGGGAGCTTCTTTTATCGGAGTATACTACACAGAGTTTGATGTTGAGGAAATGAAGATTGGTATAGCCCGTGCTACGTAGTGTCTGAGACAATTTGAACAGAATGATGTAGCATTTGTAAAAATCCGCTTTTTTACACATTATACTCTGTGTGAATGTGTAAGTGTATCAAAGAGCTTTGGGACAACATTGAAGATGACAGACATTTACATGGATGAGGTAGCATGGCACCCCCTAAACACAATGTTTAGACTGAGACTAGGCACCAATGGACATAAATATAATACATAATGCAGAGATCATGTTGGTGCAATATGAAATCCGTTTCACAGTGCACTTTAGCATTATAATTATGCACCATAGACACCACATAATAATTAAAGTGTCGGGAGACGCTCTATATCCCTTCAGTCACAAAAATGTTGCAAATTTACACACTTCTAGAAACGTCATAAAACTCGCACAGTTGTGAACTTTGACCCGGTAAGCAGGCGGCATGGCAGCATTATCCCATAAAAACCACCCACACATCCTCAGAAGTGGTCAGTCGGCACTTGGATGTGGCGGTTGGAGCTTCGATGTTGCTTTCATAAAAATAAAAAAAGGCAACAAGGTCCGGATTGAGTGAGACATGTCATAAATATTTGAGCAGGCTGAAAGGCAGGCACAGAGGCTGTGCGGTGGTCTGTAAAACGGCAGAAAGAAAGATCGCCACAGAGCGTGTGTGCGCGGGATGAAAGGGGTGTGTCGATTTGGGCAGAATTACGCATGCATGCAGGAGAGTTGCTGAAAAATGGAGATCGGTCGCAGAGGCGTACAAAACGCATAAAAACGCATACAAAACGCATGAAAACACGGTGAGAATGACTCCCCGGGCCTTCAAAACACACTAGCAATAGTCTACGGGCCCATACTACCTATACATGTTCCCAAAGACCTCATACGAACCTTCAGTCGTCCACACGAGAATTCGCTCATACGGGATTTCACGATTTTCTTTAGTACCAGTTCAATCGATGATTTTTTCACTGAACGCCTCCAATTTCGCCGGAAGTGTGCACGGACATCAAGCGATTTTTTTTCTTGCAGCAAGTATCATTGAGTTCTTCCGTGGTCGACACTGAACAACGCTATTTGCTGCTATAATGAAAAGCACAGAAGTGCAAACCCTCGGTGCACTGTGACGCGCACGCGTAAGTAAACGCATGCGCCGTACCACTAATTGATGGGCTGGGTTTAGTTTTAGCTGTTACTCGTGGTCTCTTGCCAGCTCGCGCAGAGTCTGACGCGGGCTAACTACACTACTAGATAGCATGCAAGAGGCGATACACGCCCTGCGTTGCATCTTCTGGTGCCTCCGAAGTACTCAGAGCACGCGGATCGATCCGACTGTGGTAAGCCATCCTGTCCGAAATTTCTGACCTTCATTGCCCGTTAAGTCGTATCCTTTGTGAGACGAACAAACACCCGAGAAGTGAGATTGAGAGTAACAGACACACAGACAGACCCAATGAAAAGCACTGAAGTGCAAACCCTCGGCGCACTGCGACGTGCACGCGTAAGTAAACACATGCGCTGTACCACCAATTGATGGGCTGGGTTTGGTTTAGTTTCTCATCACGAAGTTTAGTAAGTAAGCACATGGAAGCTTTGTCACTTACTCCCACAACCCAAACTTGGTCACTTAAAATATTCACTTGATTCATGGCTTGACACCCCTCATCCAATGCTTATACCCACGCCCCATATTCTAACCATCACTCAAGGGTTTGTAAGCAGCCTATTCACAGTTTGCTCGCTAGTTTCAGCTGCTCTCATGCTTGCCATGTGCTTTCTATTCTGCTGTTGTCTATGCACAGTTTGATCGTTAGTTTCTGATGCTCTTTTACTGGCCTTCTGCAACATATCTTCAGCCGGATCAGGTAGGAAGAACGGTACCGCATACTAAATGAAAGGGGCGTGGTCACCGTGACCTCTGGTGCTATTGCGCGACGCGTAACACAATCGTCGGCGTAGTGTAGCGTATACTAAATCAAAGGGGCGTGGTCGTCCGTCATGCGCATGTCCGTGTTGGCGTATATATAAAAAGCTGCAGCGTTTCGCAACATAGATGGCAAGAAAACGCATGCGTACGGTTTTAGCGGGAGATTTGAGCGGCAGATGAACTGTGAAAATGCAAGAACGTCCGAGAAGTGATGTGTCAGATGGCAGATCTTGGTGGTGTCCACAGTGTAAAGGACGAAAATGAATACGCGACGGTAGTTTCTTCTCAAAATCACGGCGGCTTCCACTGAAGAAGTGGCTGCTTTTGGTGCATTTCTGGCTGCAGTTCCCTGTCACTACAGCACCACTAGATGCTGATATCAATAAAAGTACAGCGATTGATGTTTACCAGTGGTTTCGGGAGGTATGCTCAACAACCCTCCTTAACACTCCGATAGTGTTGGGTGGAAATGGAGTAATTGTGGAGATAGATGAGTCGCTGGTAAAAACGTGGGGTAATTCCTGTCCTTTGGCCCTTGCAGCGTCACCGTGGGCGTCCCCCTCACCATCAGTTATGGGTATTTGGAATGGTGGACACTTCCCAGGTCCCAGGTCCCAGGCCTTGGATACATGGAGGTTGTTCCATCACGGGATGCAACACTCTTTTACCCATAATTCGAGCACACACAGCACCAGGAATAACAATACACTCAGACCAGTGGCGCGCTTACAGCACGGTCAGCTCACTCCCCGCTGCACGTATGACCACGCCCCTTTCATTTAGTATACGCTACACTACGCCGACGATTGCGTTACGCGTCGCGCGATAGCGGCAGAGGTCACGGTGACCACGCCCCTTTCATTTAGTACACGGTGCCTATATACCCGATCCCTTTAGCCTTCATAGCTGATTTGACAGTAAGACTGGCATGCGTTTCATGGCTTTGTCTGGCTCTTGGCTCGAAAGACATGTTGGCAAGATTTACACACTTTCAGCCTCAGTGGTACAATAGTTTCACACTGTTGACATACCTTACTTGGAGGCATGATAGTAAAATAGCATCTCACAGACCTGGAGACGTCATCTCACCGGAACGAGAAACAAAATGGCCGCTTTACACCACGTGGTCGAATATAATGCGCATGCGCATTTTCCGCAGCGATAAAAATGGCCGACTAGCATTAGTCGTATATACGATGGCGGAAGCGCTCTAGCTTTGCAACGAAGCATTTTCAGAGAAAACCGTTCGAAAGTTGCCCGTTAAGTAGGTCGTATCGTTTGTGAGACGAACAGACATTCGAGAAGTGAGATTGGGAGTAACAGACAGACAGACAAACCCAACTACAGTACCCTCGCTGCGCATGCGCGCCGAGGGTAACTACAGCAACCTCGCTGCGCATGCGCCCCGAGGGTAATAAAAATAATAATAATTTTTTATGACAAAGAGGAGCCAGGGAGGCTATTAGTCAAGCTATGTACAATGAATAAAAAAGCGGTATGTGCCACTGCATCATTTATGTTCTTATTATCAGATTGTAGTAAGTACACGAATTTCTGCTCTGATGAAAGCCACTTATATCCAGGAAACGCTGCTTGTATTACTTGTTCCAGATTGTTACGTAGGTTTTCATACTTTGAACATTCGCATAGGAAATGCTTCTCATCTTCTACAGATTTGCACTTGTGACAGAGCCTCTGACTCACTGGGACCGACTTCGGTTTGTGGTACCTCCCACGTTCAATTTCCAGACTGTGGCATCCAACTCTAAGCCGAGTCATAGAAACTCGGAGCGCTGCTGAAGTTATATTCAAAAGATAGGGCTCCATGCCAAACTCTTTCTTGAATAATCTGTATGATCTCAGTTTGTTTCCACCTTGTCCAGTCAGGCTATGTTCACGTTCTAAATTGGCATGCCACCTTTGAATAAATTGGTCACGGTATGTGAACATAATTGTATTTTGCGTGTTTTGATCAAAAACACAAAACTCTGAGAATGGAGTAGCATAACCGGCAGTATTCAAGAGAGTAGCCACATTTGAAACCCAACACTTCCCCCCACAGCTAGCAGTGAACAGTGACAGGTACTTTGCTGCTTTGAGTAGTGCAGGAGCATCATCTGAGTAAATCCTGTTCCAAAACTTCAGTATTCTCTCCTTCCACCATAGGTTAACAGGGAGCTGGCCCAGCTCACCATAAACAGCCATGTTAGGTGCTGATGCTGGTAAATGTAGTATCTGCTTGAGAAAACGGAGCTCTACTCTCTCTAGATGTTGATCACCAGTGAACCCCCAAATTTCAGACCCATAACACAATATGGGCTTCAACATTGTTTCATAGAGCTGTAGTATAACTGGGATGGGGGGGTTGTCTAAATGTTTTAGTATTGTCAATAATGAAAACATTCCTTTGTTTGCCTGATTGGCTAGGTGCTTGCAACCCTGGGCGAACTGCGCACACGCGGTACCACTAATTGATGGGCTGGGCTTTTAGTATGCGTTTACGGTATCCACGCTAGTAGCTCGCGGAGAGTCTGACACGGACTAGCTACAGTAGTAAATAGCATTCGGGAGTCCCTTCGTTGTGACTTCTTATGCCTTCAAGATACACAGAGCAAGCGGATCAGGCCGAGGTGAGCCAGCATACTGCGTAAGTAAACGCATGCGCAGTACCACTAATTGATGGGCTGGGTTTAGTCTGACGCGGTAGATGGGATGCGAGAGGCGACATAAATTTGATTGAAATGACGGGAAATTGAAAGATCAGAATGCGAGACACAACGAAGTGATTGACATTGGTAGTATGAGTGTGCAGCAGGCATTGTGGAGACTGAAGGCTGCTTCACGTGAGGTCTTGACTCTTGAGTTCTTTGACTAGGCACAACACAAGCAAGGGCTGCAGCCTGCTTTTTCTCCATGCGGTAGATGTAGCTTAACTATTTGGCCGTTGTATATACATGAAGAATTACAACCGAGTTGTGGGCATTATAAGGAATAAAACAGTCACAGCTGGAGTAATGAGCAGGTTAATAGTCCCTATTTGAGGCGTATGACTGAAGGAAATTAGGTGAGAAGAGGGATCTGATCCTTGCAAAATTGGCAGTCAGGCAGTATAGCAGTATGGATATTCAGTGTTTGAAGTAGTCCTATGGGAGAGGGGTTAAGTCATTTTTACCATTGTCTTG